TCCTTCGGTCCTTGGGCCAGTCCCAGTCCAGCTGGATGCTGGTAACCTCCTCACTGGCACTGTTTTACCTCGCAGTTGTTGGCTCCAGATTCAGGCTCCAGGTTTTATTTGTATTTTGCTTTGTCAGCTTTCAATTGGAACACTAAAGACATTCCTAAAAACCTTTCCTTCTAAAACAGCTCTCTGGGTCCTCTAACATCACATTTTAAGACAGTAAAATTCTGGTTAGTTTAGACAACATTTTACTTCATCTGTGCATGAGTTCATTGGTCAGACAGCTCAGCACCAAACTGCCTTTAAGAGACAGGTGGTGTGAACATTAAGAGACTGATCAAACCAGATGTCTGACTGTCAAAAACTTCATTATATATTTACATCCAAATGTCCTGTTTGCAGGGGCGCCCCCCAAGGGTAGCCAGATGGGGCCAAAGAAAAATTTGGGGTGGCATATCAAATTGGTCCTTATGGCAGCTGGGAGAGTTAAGCCTGTGGCGGTGTATTGCATTCAGTGGTGGCTGATGAATTTTTTATTGGGCGGGGTGCAGTCATGCCATCTTCATCATGTTATATCTTAGATGGATTGACCACATATCACCACTAGGGGGGCACCAAATTACCATTATTATGATATGACACTAAATAAAAGGGCTGCAAAAAAGCTAAAAACACATATTGAGAAAAACCCAGTAGCGGCTGATGAAATGTTTTTTTTTTTTTTTTGCGGGGCGCAATTTAACAGGTGTTGTGCAGTTTAACAGGTGTTGTGCAATTTAACAGGTGTTGTGCAATTTAACAGGTGTTCTGCCAAAAAGAACATGCCATTCGGGATTTGCATGACCTGTTATGGGAAGGTGCATAAATGACAAGATTTTAAATAAATTTGTACTATTAACATCAATCCAATCCAAATTTATTTTATTTCTATAAATTTCACACTGTTGACTGTACAGTTAAAAATAAACAAGCACATAAAAACAAAACATAAACAAAAACATATTAAACACTAAAAACTCACCAATGATAAAACACATCACTGCTAAAATAATTTTGGATAAAACACAAAATAAACATGGGTATATAAAATCAAACAAGAGTGGATGTACAACAATCGGACAGAGTCTTGTCCTTTCATACAAGTAATGACTAATTCAAATCCTAGAGTTTGAAATTGTAGGTCCTAAACAAGTCATTTGACCAGTTTCATGATTTAAGAATCAATTCCTATAAACTCTGAATTCCTCTTAAAATGTGTCTACGTCTCTAATGAGAATACAAGCTGATCGTTCTTATAGGTCAACTCCACCTTACATGGGAACACACATTGCCACAGTAAACGAGAGAGAGCTAAACACCAGTTGCAGCATCAAACATCTTTTGTTGTCCATGACTTCAAATGGTGTTTTTCTTTAGGGTAATTTTTCCTAAAGTTGAAGTTGTAGCATCCGGCCGTCCTTCTCTGATATTATTCAGTAGAGAACCTCACACCAGTGGTGTTCTGGTGTGAAATGTGTGAGCACATGACGAGTGGGCGAAGCGCGTGGATGTGGAAGGGTACTGGTCTGGTGAGACAGACAAACGGATGGTCCAGCCGTTGGTTTCAGTCTGAACCGTGTTATTGGCTGAGGTTTTTATTAATTTAGTCATTTAAAAAAATCTCCATAATATATTTGTGGCAATTCTATGTTAGAATGTTGTTTAGAGGCATGAAAAATGCTTTTAAACTATCTCATTTTGCAGATTTGCCATAGTAACATTAAAGTCCAAGTTGAGTTCTAAAGTTATCAACACTGACTGGACTTGAAATTAAAGAGCAAATTGCAGGTTAGAGACTCCCATGAACCGATGTTTAGAGAAACTTAATAGAAACTAATTTTAAAAGTTTTTTTAACACATCCATTAATTATTTAGGCTTTTAGAGTCTTTTTTGTGAAAGTTACTTTTTTGGCCAAACCAAGTGACATCATCTGAGGGAGTCCTGTTAGCTTAATCCAGTGAAAAATATATATTATAATGCCGGCGTTGACAGAAACTTTAAATGTTTACAATTATACTCATGATGGACCAAAACCATAAAGTTATGAGTTTGCTGCACGCCCCAGAGGGCAGAGACAAACCAGAGGGAGAAACGATCGGCCAAAGCAGAGAGAATAAGGAGGAGATGCAGCTGGTGTCTGGTGAGTTAACCATGTAAGCTTAAACTCGTGTGCTAAAATCGCAATATTGTACATATTACTATCGTGTACCAGACAATTAAAATAGTATCGGTTAGTTAATAATAATATTAATACTAATGGGTGTCTGTCAGCGGTCTCATACTTGTTAACATCTGTTCACATATCGTAGTTTAGCTTAGGGAGAGGGAGAGACGCCTGTGATCTCGTTCTGGAGCTCATGCGGGCTTCTGTGAGTGGGATCCCACCCAGACACCAGCGAGCCAGTTGAGCTGATATTTTTAAAAGCTGCACACGATCGTTCCCTAGAGGTCCACGGTGGTTATCATCTGATTCCGACCCAGAAAGCTTGCTTGGCTGGTCCGCTGAGCTGAGAGAGACACGCCTGTGATCCAGTTCTGGAGCTCATGCGGGCATCTGTGAGCTGGATTTGACCCAAACACGATCGAGACAGTCGAGCTGGTATTTTTAAAAGCCACGCATCCTCTCCTGGTGGTCCAGGCGGCGGTTCTGATCTGGCTCCAACTCGGAAACCAGCTGGCCCGCTGAGTCACGCGTCTCTTCTGGTGGTCGGTTCTGGTTTTGACGGTGATCTGAGTTCCAGAAATCCGCATTAAATTTGTCAAACCCCACCACAGGTCTCTAGAGCCCAGCGCGGACCTCCCTGTCCTGGTACCGACCAATGCGGGCCACAGAAGTCCGTCTTTTCAGCTGCACAAAACACCCTCAGGTATGGAGATAGAGGCGTTGTTCCTCTTGTCTGGAAACCCGGGGACTGGATGTCCAGACACGCTGGAGTTGGTACAGCCTTCACAAACTATATTTTATCAACATGAACACAACCCGCCACTAGTAAACACACACACGGACTGGATAACATGACCTCTCTACCCTAAAACTAGCCACTTTCCACACTGAGCTGAGGCAGCCTAGCTTCTGACTCCCTTTGGTAACGTCAGAGGTTCACATTTAGAAACAAGCTTTGCTGAGAAAGGACACGTTCTACTAGAAAAACTCTGCTGTTATGTATTTTAAAACCAAATATCCACAATAACCTTTTTAAATAGTATTTTTTGGACCGAAATTTTATATGAATTAGAAAACAATTTTAACCTGCAATTAGCTCTTTAAGTCCAAGTCTTCTGACAGCTCACAGGTCTGCTATAACCCCGTGTATATTAATTGGACCCACATGAACTTTTGCTTTATTAAAGGCATTAAAGTTCTAAAAAGTTTATAAATAAATAAAGAATAAATAAATTGATGACCTGCCGTTCTCACCTGGTGGGCTCGTCGAAGAACATAACTGGAGGATTGTTTACTAGTTCCAACGCGATGGCCAGACGTTTACACTGACCCCCAGACAGAGAGCTGGTCCTGATGTGAGCGCAGTCAAGGAGCCCTAAAGCAGTGAGAATCTCATTGACCTGTGAACAGAACATGAGATTAAACAGGTTTATGAAGGATGTGAAAGATATTTAAACACATTTGGTTTTTATGTTAGTGTCGCAGAAGAACTGGGAGAGAAGTGATGCCATGCGGCTCAGGTCTGTAGACATATGCAGACTAGATCCACAGCTTTGTCTACCAGCCACCCATCTTTTATCCGAGTTAGCTGTGAAAGCAAAAGTCCCTTAACAAATCAGTGCTACTGCAGACATCACGGCTACAATAGTGTAAAGATAGCTTTAGTCACCACTCAGGGCTCCCTACTGTTTGGTGTCAGGAGTGAAAACGGCCATCAGGCTTCACCAGTTGCTTTAAATACCCCAGTGGTGCACAACTAATGAAAAGAGCAGTCTTGCAGATGTTTAGACCTTTGTACACCCTAAAGCAGGGGTGTCCAATCCTGGTTCTCGAGGGACGGTATCCAGCACGTTTTCGTTTTAACCTGCTTCAACACACCAGATTTCAATCAGCAGGTGATTAACAGGCTTCTGCAGAGCCTGATGAGCTGCTGCACAGGTGATTCAACCAGCTAATCAAGCGTGTTGAAGCAGAAAAACCACAAAACCTGCTGGTTACCGGCCCTCCAGGACCAGGATTGGCCACCCCTGCCCTAAAGGGTCAATTTCACAGACAGAAGGAGACAGTGAAACCATCCTCCACATTTTTCATTTTAGTGAAGCAGATTTAGATTTTCCACAAATTAAATGTCATGATTAAATTTTTGATTTTTAAAGCATCACTGTTCCTTTAACTTGTTGGTGCCTCTAATCTAGTCACAGAAAAACAAATCAGTGATCGATTTGTCATGGCTGAGAGTAAAAGAGTAATATTGTTACTTCTACTGACCTCATCGGACAGTGAATAAATACAATCTCAGTCTGCCATAACCCTGTACAACCTGTGGATTCTGCATGCATTTACGTTTATTTAAAGTGAAAATTCCTGGTTTTACCATTTTACAATAAAGAACAAACACTTAGCTTTGAGAGAAACCTTGCACAAACAAATGTGATATAATTTATAAAACTTGCTAATTTTAAGACAGAAGTGGTTTAAAAGAATCCATATGCAGAAATGAACGGCCCCCTTTTATTCAAAGTGTGTTCAAACAAAGGAGAGGATTGGTGGGAAATGGATCTTCATGCATCTGAGTCCTATTTGTCTGCCTGAGGTTATGTGTGCTGTTAAATGGTTTGAATTTCAGGGGATGTACATCTCTATATGTGTTTTTTGTGTTAAGCTGTATGCTCACCACTTCTTTTTTCACTTCCAGTGTTTCATTCAGTTTTAAGTTGGCAGAAACCTGCAGAAACAACAAAATATTCACCATCATCATCTGATCAAATCAAAAGTCCAATTTGGTTTTAGCTGCAGCTCAGAATAAAAGTCCTGACCATCATGGCTTCCCGGGCAGTAAGGTGTGGAAGGAGCATGTCTTCCTGCATGATGTAGCAGGACATCTTCCTGAATGTTCTCAGGTCCCTGGGTTTCCCATTAACCAGGATCTCCCCCTTCATTCCTGTTTCCCTGAACAGCACGAAGGACACATAACACTTAAGACCACTGTGCTGGTTGGAAGGGCGGAACCATCCAGAAAAGGAGCAGGAATAGTACCACCTTCAGTGGAAAGAAAGCTTTGCTCTCTCACCTGTATCCAGCTAGAATGTTCATTAAAGTGGACTTTCCAGCCCCCGAGGGCCCCATTATTCCAATCAGCTCCCTGCTGCAGAATCTTCCAGAAAGACACTTCAATAAAGCTTTGAATCCTGGAAACAACAAAACTAGCTTTCAAACACTTAGTATGAAAATTTCAGGTGAAAGTCAAAACATTTGAATATGGTCTCACCTGTAACTAACTCATGTAAATAACTGGTACAAGACCACTGCAACATCAAATACCTAAACCTTAAAACATTTCAAGAATAAACTGGATTTTTCCAAGCATGGTTGTGTCATCAGTGCAATAACAGTGTCCTCAGTCTGAGGAACAAAAAAAAAAAAACAGAACCAATATAAACACATCTGATGTAGTATTCTGTTAAATGGGGAATCATGGCTCTCGTAGGCTCCTGTTAGCTTAGCTCCATCAATCATGTGTGCAGCTAATAAAATAATAAAAAAGGTGTTTCCTTAATTCAGCCTCATGATGTGAACATCATGTGTCACGCTGCGAGCGCAGGAGGACTGGACCCAAAACGCAGAACACCACACAACTCAAGGCTGGAGAGGTTGTATGAATAAAAAAATCCTTTTATTAGGATAAAACACTCAAAAAAAAAAACTGCAGGACTCTACGCCAAAATTAAAGTTCAAAAAGTCAAAAATAAAAGATCACTCATGAGCCAGAATGTATAGTTACTAGAGACGGGGATAAAGCAACGCTGACGAAAGACAATGAACCGACAAACACTGGAGACACAGGCAGGGTTTTACACACAGGGCTGGGTGATACGAGACGAGGAGCAGGTGTGTGGGGACACAGGGCACAGGTGAAACTAATAAGTAAATGAATGATCTGAAGTGGGGAAGGGAACACACACACTAAAGGAGACTAAAGAACTGAAATCATAAACCTATAGAAAACTACAGTGGAGAGACTAAGGCCTAGTCCACACGTAGCTGTTTTTTTTTTAAAAACGAATATCCGCCCCTCCAAAAACTTGCATCCACACCACCTCGTTTTAAAAACAAACTCTGTCCACACGTTCCCGGATAAATACGTTGTTAAGGACATGCCAGACCTGTAGGCGACAGTACTTCCCCCGTTCTTAACCTCGTCCTTCGTCTGTGGTCTTCCGCAAGGAGCAGTAATTCCGCTTGCAAAAATAAACAAGTAAAAAGCGCTTGGACAATTGATGGATCGGGTAGTGACAGAGCGCAGCTCTGAAGGCTTCCATGATGCCGGCTAGAGTAAACACAGGTCGCACACGTGATGTCAGCATTTTTGTGTTGCGGAAAGTGACGTTGCGGACCTTAAAACTCCGGTTTTGTCTGTCCACACGCAGACACCCAAAACGGAGAAAACGCAGATCTTCACTTTGGCAGGAGTTTTTAAAAAGATCCGTTTTCGTGTGAAAAAACTCAGTTTTCGTGTGGATGACAGGCCAAAACGTAGAAAAATATCTACGTTTTGGCAGATCCCCGACTACGGGTGGACAGGGCCTAATAGAACATGAGGGGACACCTGGAGGGGGCTGGGGACCAAAGGGACACGGAACACGACATCATGTTGGTGATCCTTTAACTAGGATTTAACCTGGTTTTAGGTTTGTTAATGATTCCGTCTCACATTCTCTCACTGATAAGTTTTCAATGTTTTTGTTCTTTCACACTAATACCTGGGTGTTCCTTTGTTTTGGTTTCAGTTGTTTGTTTTAGTTATTAAACTGCAGAAAACCTTCCAGATTCTTTGGGTGTTTCATTTACACATTGATATGATCCAGTGTGTGCTATCAGTGTGGAAATACTCCGCTACAGGTCTTTGTACTGAAAGTATAAACAAACCCTAGGCTAACTGCAGTGTTACTAAAATCAGAGTAAGATTTGTTTGTTTTTAAAAAAATCTGTTTCTGATTTTCTGACTTGAATGAACTATTGGCCTGACTCACGATCTGTTTCAGTCAAAGCAGTAGACACTGATTGTGTTCATGGGCAGAGCCCAGCCACGTAGGGACCTTTGACTAGTGACCAACTCCTGGCATAATGCTAACACAATTATTTGGTCGGTTTGGTTGACAGCTGATGGATTTGGAGGTTTGAGTGTGTCTCACATTAATAAAACTGTAGCGTTAGGAAACAAGGCCACCCAGGCAAGCTTACCCTGCAAACAGTCAACGTTGCATGAACGTGCAGATCATGTCTATATTGAGTCTGTCGGTCCACACCACGTCTGTAGGACGTCCAAACTAGATCTTTGCACAGTGGGTAGCTACGGTGAATTTTCATTCATTCTAACGTTTCAATTAGAAAAAAAAACAACAACAGACTAAATTAGTTTATTAATTTATCAAAAGCCCATACTGATTATTTCACCTTTGTACACAATATCTGATATCAGTCGAGTTGTTTTATCAGATCACGGATGTGGGAATGTCAGAATTAATTATTAATTAGTTTAACTTTTTATCTCCTTGCTGCAGCAAAACTAAACAGTGCATTTATGGAACTGCTTAATGAAACAAAGAAAAACGTCGATTATGTGGACGAGGTGACCCGGTGAGCTGAGAAATCTGAGTAGGATCTGTTCACGTCAGCCTAGCTCCCAAGCTTATTTCAGGATGGGTTCACAGACATAGACTGACAATTTTTGTTGAGCTGTTGAAATATATTTGTGAACTACTTGCATTGATAAAGAGTATTTTAAAATAATTTAGTCAAACTGAAGATACATAATTTGTTCTCAACCAGCAAATGACGCACAATTTCTAATAAAATGTAAAATAAAAAATGTTCTGTGATCAAAAAGCTTCTATTCTGACCAAATTACTGCAGATATCAAAATGATTTGTTTTCCATTTGTGAGGGCGGTGGTGGCAGAGGAGCAAAGTGCCCACCCCATTAACGGAGGGTTGCAGGTTCGAGCCCTGTCTGTTGTAGTCATATCCTTGGGCAAGACACTTCACCCTCCTTGCCTGCTGGTGATGGATCGGGGGACCGGTGGCACCAGCGCGCCCCAGGGCAAGTGTAGCTACACTGTAGCTCATCACTACCAGCGTGTGAATGTGTGTGTGCATGGGTGAATGACTGGTTGTGTTGTAAAGCACCTTGGGGGGTTGTAAAACTCTGGAAGGTGCCAAATCAAACACAGGCCATTTACCT